AGTGGCTGCAATGCCAATAAATAAGCATCCTGCCATGGCCAGCCTGCAGTCTCGATCTCAATCCGATGGAGCATATCTGGGGCATAACAGTCAGATAGGTTTATGCGAATAACCGTCAGTTCCAGGGCACAGAAGAGCTGGAGCGGGCGATTATCGAAACATGAGAGCAATCGTCGAGGAACATCTTCGAAACCTAGTTTCTAGTATGCCACGCAGGCTCTTTGATGTCGCTCTTAAACAAGGAGGAGCTACAGTTATTAACTGTTGTACATATGCCATTGACAATGATAAATCATTTACTTTCTCAGGGTGACCTTATAATTATGAAACGGTGCAAAAGCCGACACTATCTTTAAAAAATTCGTAAAAAAATCTGAGGTGAAGGATATTGCGACCAAAATTTGAGTACAGAGGTACATTGTAACGAGGAATCTACCAGTGTTTGCCAAAAAATTCCATTCCGGCTGCTTTCTCCAGAATCGCAAAAATCTGGGGTGACCTTATAATTATGAAACGCACTGTATGGCAGATTTAAAAGCAGATCCCATTTCTTGGTTGGCTTTCGCTGGTTGTTCCATCGCCGAAAAGTTACTGAGATCGTGGAATGACTCTGCCACCTTCCAACATTTCTCGAAAAAGTAGAGCATAATTGCGCGAATATGCGGATGGTTTTCTAGGTACTCTTTTGTATATGAAATCAAGTAGTTCATTTCTAGAAAAAACCCAAACTCAATATTCAAATTCTATCGGGTGAAAAAAAGCCGCAAAAAAATCCGCAATAATTATGCATCAACCTAATAATATTATACTTTCCATTCAACAAGCCGTTTCCAACGGTCCATTCATTTTCGGAGCACAGACAATCAAGCAAAATTCACTAGCCGTCGCTAACAACAAAAAACACATACACATGAAATCTTAGATCGCAGTATTTAGCGGAAGAGCACCTACAGAAATACTCAGATACAGTGTAGATGTCTCAAATTTTGTGAAAAAAAAGAAACACAAAGGAAAAATCACCCAATGTTACTCGATGATACTGCACAAATAGTCATTAATCGAAAAATTAACGGATCTCAGAATTGAAGATCAAGTCATGTATGAGGAAAATGCTACCCTGGCGATATTCTCCAACCTGATTTCACCAAAAAGACACACCCGGACTTGCCGATCAAGCGGCGGCACGTTAAAAAATATAGAAAATGAGGTTCTTTCATGAACGAGTATGGAAGCCAGGACACATCCCAGACATGAACGAAATCCCTTAGACCAAGAACATTTATCATGTCATTAATCGAACAACATTGTGTCAACACTACTTCGTACTTCGAAACCAAGCTAATTCGTGCAGTGTGTCACATTTCATATGACAATCGGATCGTCCCCGCTGGCCTGGCTCTCATCCTTCTCGTGTAAAGTTACTGTATTGGGACGCTCCGGTACAGAATAGCAGCAATCATAAATTCACTTTCAAACAGACAAGCTTACTCCAGAATCATTGTAGTGAAAGTCTGATATCGGCAGAGTAGTTTGATGTGACCTTCAGTTGGACTGTTGGAAATACGAGTATGACCTTAATATGGTTAAATAGAAGACATTCCAACGATGATGGAGTGATTGCGACATGCCGACTAAGCCCCTAGGCCCATTCCTTCCCTTTCAAGAGTTCCGATTGTCAGCAACTCACAAGCGTCCATCTATAAACTCACCGAGGAGCGTGGCCTCTCCTTAATTGCCTTCCAATATGGGAAGTATAACGCGTGATCGAATGTTCGCCCCTACAATACTTGCTGTGTTTCTAATGTTATTAAGGATACTAACCAGGTTCGAAGGTACGAAAACCCTGAGCTCCCTCCATTAGAGCATGGAAAGATCCATGTGAAACGGGAGCGACTGCACCGGCCCCTTTTATCGTACAGTTTCAGCTCTGATTGAGACACACCTGTGCTTATATACTTTCTATTAGTTGTGCATAGCTTTTTTGATTACTAACTGCTCAGAATTCGAAAGTTGCTCATCACAAAAGCGCTATTTAGGCACAGAAGCATTAATTCCATGAGTATGTTTCATGAAAGGCGGACATGGAGAATGCTTCACAATATATAACTTGCCGAATCATTGTTGAAGCGGCAGGTTATATTGAAGAAAACTACCGGAACTTGGTGACTTGATGTCTGTTCCAATCGAAGCAGCAGAGAGAAATGACTAGATGACTAGATGACAAGGAGTCGCGTGGACCCCTACCCCAAACAACCCCATGAAAATCCCTAATCAAGTAAATTATCGCTATTCGGATGAGTACAATCTATTTATTCAGTTTTGATGAAAAATGCAGCACTCCTTTGCAGTCAAAACCAGACGTAGCGCTAAGTTTGCTTCATTTCTACACGATGGCCTTCTCATCAAACTCGTCCACAGCTTGAATAAAGCAAGAACTGTTTCAAAATCCAAATGAACTGGTAACATGATTGAGTGGGAAGTAGAAGTGCTATGGTAAGACGAATGTGAGACGAAATAAGTGTAAGCTGCAACAACCGCAGAAAACTTGTTCAAACAATTGAAAAATCACTGGTCGCTGACGACTGTAGTGTTGCTAACGGATTATTTTTGATGTGGTAAAGCAATTATCACAGTAATCTCATTCGCAGTTTTCATGTCAGCATCAAAGAACTAGAGATACCGGATTTCAATAGCATTAATACGTGTTCCTTAACAACTTCGATACAATAGGACATTTCGCGAAGAACACTTCGTTCAGATCGGAACCAATCAGTATAAATGCTTCGGAACACAACGGTACCATTCATTATTTCGATTTGATATCGGGACAGCCGCCCTATTCCCAAACTTCTCCTTGGAATGGTGCATGTCCAAGCTTGCTGAGCATCCGGTAACGAAAACATCACTCTGTATTACGCTGGAAACTAATTAATACAATGAGACTTATTGAAATATGTATTCTAGTTAGTATTCCACTGCCAACATTTGCACTCCATAATTTACCTTCGAGGTAAGTTTTTATGGTTGTTTATTATTTTGTTGCCAAACATTGACATCCTCTCGAATCCTATTCAAAGTTTTTTAAAATCCCTAATAGGGATAGAATGTGGTTCCGCTTGTTACCCGCTAAGAAGGTGGTGTTGGTCCCTAGGAAGTGACGGGCAAGTTTGTCATGCGCAACATGCCCTCATAGCAAGAGAACAGTGATGAATCGGAAACAGCCTTTGCCGGTGTCAAAGTGCTTACGCTTACGATCTCAGCGAATGGTCTAGTGAAGGTGTAAACACCGTTCATGAACCGTTTGAGCTAGTGAAACTGGAAGAGTTCTCTGCACTACGTACACTGCAGGTGGCTAGTTCAACCTCTTCTCTGGTGGCTTTGATCTCGTATAGAGGAAGTGTTGTTATAAAGCGCACCCTGGTTTTCTGGCCTTCGGATTTTTTTGGAGTTTGCATATTGTACGCTATGTGGTATGCTTTCACTCTTGACCTTCTTATTAGAAAATTGCAAGCCCTAGTTGGGCCCTCAAAAAGGTTCTAGTGACTAATTCAACTTTCATATACACATCCTAGATAGATCCAACCATTATATAATGCGTTATTTCATTCGGACAGGTGAAGCTGTTCTTCTCTATAAGTCAAAAGCGGGAAGTTTGCAAGAGGTAGTACCCTTCTCTTTCAAATGAAAATGTCCAATTTTCTTCATCGCAAAACTTCGCTCTCCTTTCATAACCTCAGGACCCATCATTGATAAAAAATCGTTCATCAGTGATATGATTCCCATTTTTGCGTTTACTAAGATCATGCTCTCAAGTGAGCGGTAGGCACTCAGCTACAACGGGCACAGACCACAATGATAACGGTCGCACAATCAACTCTGCTCCACGCAGCTTAGCACTCTTCAGTATTGAAGTTCCACGTTCCGCTGATGGCCGTTTCCCTAACTCTATGCAATGCTACTCTCTTGCTCCCTAGAGCTAACAGTCGCGATCATTCTGCGGATTGAAGGCAAACAGTCAGACTAACAGTAGAATAAACTACAAATCAAAAACCGAAAAAAGTTGCCACACCCTTTAAGTGGACCTCGGCTCCTTGTTTCAAGTTCCCAACAGAAAAGATTATCAGAGAAGCCACTGTGCCGTCATCCTGAATTATTAATCCCTATCAATACTTCAGTGACTATTTCAGACATTTCAGATTGAACGCAAGGCTAAAGCGTGGTAGCTACGCCAGACCATTTGGATGTTGTGATGGTGGCAGTTTTGGAGGTGGAGCAGGCTATGGTGCACCAGCTCCACCACCACTCCCTCCGCCTCCACCACCCCCTCCACCTCCACCACCTCCTCCGCCTCCACCTCCTCCTCCTCCTCCTC